TTCGTATCCTTGCCTTCCCCACTCTTCCTTAGTCTCCCCCCTCTCTTCCTCATATTAACTTCAAGGCCTCCTCACCCCCTTCCTCCTCCTCTTCCTCACATCTTTTTGTTCTCTTTGCCAGCTCTTCCTTATTGTCTCTCACTCTCAGTGCTCCAGAAACGTGTGTGTGTGTGTGTGTGTGTGTGTGTGTGTGTATAGGATAAGGGGGGGGGGAGCTGAATGAGTGGTTTCCAAGGTAACGGAGGCACACTGCTGCAGTGGATATGTCGGGGAGGTGCAGAGGGTGAGGAGAGTTTGGAGGGAGCGAGAATGAAGGAGGCGTGTGTGTGTGTGTGTGTGTGTGTGTGTGTGTGTGTGTGTCTGTCTCTGGATGTCAAGAGCATTGGCTCTGCTGCAATGCTGCAATGCCCCCACACACAGGCTTCACGTCTGACAACCATGACTTTAATTTGCCTTAAGGGCCCAAACACACACACAGACACACACATGTGTTTGTGAAGGAAGTGAGCAGGACTCCCGAGGAGTTCAGTTTCCACTCGGAGTGAAAGTGAGCTGAGAAGCTCCTCCACCCTGAACATCCATGTAGGAGGTGGGCGTGTGCACAGAGGGCAGGGTGCTGCTGGTGGAGCTCTGCCAGGTTTAAGTCAATTAAATATCTGTTAAAGTCAGCCAACCTTTAAAAAGTGTTGAATCTGATCTGTTATGGACCCGTCCACCCACCCCGACCTCCTCTGTGCACACGTCTCTCTGTTGTCTGTCAGAGTGCTGATGTCACGTACGTGAAGCTGCTGCAAATAAAAACCAAACGTTCCTCAACGAGGAGAAAAGTCGAAGTTTCTTCATGTTTAGACAAGAAACAAAAACCCGACTTCCTCTTTGTTCCTCTGACATCCTTCGTTGGTCCGCACTGACTGAACCGACATCATTTTACAACCAGAGTCGCCCCCTGCTGGTCATTAACATGCATGCGGGTTCAGAGTCTGTGTTCCTAATAAACTGCTGCACATTAAACTTTTTCTTTAAAGGAAAACTTTAACTTCCCTTAAAAATGTGATTCTCCAGAGAAACAGACAGAGGGAGCCGGAAGGTGTTTGATGGTGTTCAAACCAATAAAACCAGTAAGTTTCCCAATAATCCTTATGAAAGTATTTTTAGATGAGGGTTTGACTCATGCAGGAACAACCTTCGAGGACACACAGATCTCACAGCTCATCCGTTTCATCGGGTTTATCCTCCACCCTCTCTGCGGTGTCGACTCTGAGGTGATGGGGTTAGGGCGGTGCACTCGACCTCTGAAACTAAACCTGTGAGGTGTTTCCAGGTGACACATCTTTTCTTATTGTGAGGATTTCTTCTCAGCGCCGGACTGAGTCTGCTGTGTGCTCAGCTCTTCAGCTTTTACTGAAGGGAGAGCCTCTAACATGCTTTGCTGCCACAGAGGAAATAAATTCACGGCGAGTGAAGCGAGGAGAAAATCTGCCGGCTGTCAGAGGCGATGAGACGACAGCAGCATCTTAAAGGAGAATCGACTCGCTGCAGTAACTCGGTGACCTGCAGGACCAACACAACCGCTGGTGATAAAACTGAGCGGCCCTTTCACCTCGCGTCACGCCGCCAGCAGCTCGGCTGTTCTCACAGAGGACATGTTTGCCCTGGAGCTGAGGCACACACAGCCGTAGTCACTGCTCAGGTGGAAACGCCTGCATGAGTCTGAGGGAGGTGCAACAGGTGAGGAGCACGCTCATCGAGCTTCCAATCATTGCACCTCCTGCCCTGATCGCAGTGGAGGAGATGGTGCAGCGAGATTCATTGAAGGCGACTCAGAGAGGCGAAAGGAGGGACGGGACGTCCAGGGAGAGATCTGAGAAGGAGCAGTGCTGGGAGGAGTCCCGAGGAGACCCTGAGGGGAGCTTGTTTAAATGTCGATGGCAACTCGGAGCTTCTTTAGAACAAGTGTAGGATCATGGCCGTGACCACTTTCCAGTTTCTGCTTCCTAATCAGACCAGCGGGGAAAAGGAAGTTCATTAAAATGTATTTCTGTTTGAGTTTGGTGCTCCGAGAGGAACTCAAAGCTGTTGAATCCAGTCGCCGGTAACTTCTCAAGCTCTCGGTTTCCTAACAAGCACGTTTGCTCTTGCAAATTATTTGCAACAGTTCACAGATTCCTGAGGAAGAACTCCCTGACAGTCACGACTCAGGGAAAAGACAAAGACAGAATTTCCTCCCCAGGTGGTGACAGCTGGACGCCACACTCGAACATCAGCTCACGCTTTAGCCGCTAACACAAACCCCAACTTTCAGCACACGAGGCGACTAGAAAGTGACGGCGGGGAAAAAACGGACGCGCTGCGACGTCAGCGAATGCAACATTCACACTACTGATGGAGTTTCTACTCCCTCTGCCTCTGCTGGGACCTCAGCATCAATTTAACCTCCAACTGCTTCTACTGTCAGCCAGAAGCACACACACACACACACACACACACACACACACACACACACACACACACACACACACACGAAGAGTAAAATGGCCAAAGGCGCTTCCATCTCGCTGTGTGTGTCCTGAAACAGTCTATTTCAGTCATGGCTCGCTGCAGGAAATGGATTCAGAAGTGTGCGCACACAGACACACACACACACACACACACCCACAGACTCGTAAATGAGATGATGCAGAGCGTTCAATAATAGAAGCAGTGACACTGACAGGGATTTCTGCGGCGTGATGCCCCCACCTCTCCTCCTCCTCCCCTGAGCTGCAGCCCCCCCCGGTGGCAGGGCTGGAAACTGCCGCGCTGACGTCACACTCGTGATTTCAGAGGACAAATAAACAGAAGACAAAGATCCTTCGAACATCGCTCAGCTGAAGGACGTGTTCAGAAAAATAAAACCTCGTTTCTGTAAACACAGATCTGCAGCCATTTGACAATCAGCGTTTCAGGACATAAGAACACGACCTTTAACCTCCACAGAGCCACCACAGCATCCACACCTGCAGATCTTCCAGGGTCCAGTAAACACACTTAAAGAAGAGACTGTTGCATCACAGCAGGGTTAATGATTCAAACCCAGGCGTGTGCTGATCCTAAAGCAGAGCGTCATGAAACCGTGCACAGGGTGGACCACGGATAACCTCAGTCAGTCCAGCTCACACAGGTCAGGGCTGATTGTAGAGCTTTGAGTGGACGATGTCCTGTGAAACATCCACACTGACCCGTCAGCGTTTCACACGCCAGAATAGTAACCATCAGCAGCAGCAGCGTGTGATGCAGCTGCACACCTGGGGTTCAGAGGTGACTGTAAAACAGCTGTAACGCTGCTCCAGATGTTGGGCTCAGGACGGGATGGAAGCTCGTAGGTTCAAACCTGGGCTCGGTCTGATACCCCGCGACGATGGGCTACAGGTCGCTCTCCCTCAGAGCGGCTGTTTGCCACAGTGCCAGCTTACCCTGCACCATCAGCAGCTGGATCAGAGGCACGTCACGTGCTACGCTAGCTCCCAAGTTTGATGGTTTGAGTTTCTTCCTGTTTCTTTATTTTTGTACTTTAACTTTTTGATCTGCTCATTTCCACAGTTTTATTCTTGGGCCCTGCCAGGCTAGCTTTGCATGATTCACACTGTGAGCAGCCCTTCAGTTCATCCTCCTAAACAAGCAGTCTGAGCTCCTCCCTCTTTAAACCAGCACAGCTCTGATTGGCTGCCCCTCGTTATGAGCAACTTAAACAACAGGTGGGTGGATGCTCCAACTCTGTGACATCATCGAGAGTCACTGACTCACCTGGAGCACACACACACACACACACACACACACACACACACACACACACACACCACTGTTTTAAACTCCGACCCTGTTTAACATGGACATCCACCCTGGAACAGGAAACGCACGACTTCATACAAACGTTCCCTCAGGGCGTCCCATGAGACGGCTCCATGAAGCTGCTCCACCTCCTGATCTCCTCTGTGTGAACTTCAGGTAGCCCTCCACCCAGATGTGCATATCTGAAGTGTGTTAGTAGCTCCAGTGCACACACACACACACACACGCACGCACACACAGCGTGGTGGTAAAAGAGCGATCGGGCCGCTCTTTGCGTTTTAAAGCATGTATTATTGATTAGAACAAGCAGCAGTGAAGTGCAGCACAGAGCTGCAGCTTTGTTCAAGGGCAAAGCTGCAAGTTAGCCACTTAGCAGACTGACAGGAGAGAGAGGGGCGAGCGACGGGGCGAGCAACAGGGGAGGGAGAGAGAAACCCTAAGAAGAAGGAGGAGAGGGAAAGGTGTGTGTGTGTGTGTGTGTGTGTGTGTGTGTGTGTGTGTGTGTGTGTGTGTGTGTGTGTGTGTGTGTGTGTGTGTCTGTGTGTGTGTGTGTGTGTCTGTGTGTGTCTGTGTGTGTGTAGGTGGAAATCAGCTGTTAACGATGTGTACGACAGGCCAGACGTCCTGATAGGCTGAACTGCATCGAACACAAATCAGCAAATCAATCACCGAGCTGCCTGTTTACACACAGGACTGTCTGTGTGTGTGTGTGTGTGTGTGTGTGTGTGTGTGTGTGTGTGTGTGTATATGTGTAGATAAAATAATTGTAAAGAAGCTAAAAATAAGTAAAAAACAAAACTATTACATGGACTGAAAATGTACAACAAATAAGAGGTCCAACTCAGAGGTGAGGTGAAAGAGGCCACGCCCCCCAACACACGCCCACTATACACATTTATTTCTGCTGTAACGTGGAACAACACGAGGGTGGGTGGGACGGACCGACTCCCTGCTGGACGCTAGAGGAAGTTTCCAGCCCTGCAGGTTTCATTCATGGAAACATTCTGCTCACAGCAGACACGACCTTTGACCTTTGACCATAAACCTTTGGAAAAGTCTGTTTGTGATTTCGTTTTTAAGACCCGAAGTAAGGTGAGCGCGCTCCTCTGCTCATGTGACCGAGGTCGAACTAACAGAATCATGTGTGCGTGCGTGCGTAGGTGCGCTCTGACCAGAGTTCAGCAGCTCCTGCTCCATCACGCCACAGCCCAGCACCTCCATCCAGTTGCCCTGGAAACGCACCTCCATCTCAAAGGACGGGTGAGTGAAGGGGAAGTAGCAGTCGACCCACCTGATCTCGAGATCTGAGGAGGAAGACGAGGAAGTTTGAGGAAGAGCAAACCTAACCAGACGTCCTGGTGGGTGGGGCCTCACCTGCTCCGAACAGGTAAGAGACAAGTTGTGTCAGAGTGCGTTTGAGGTCGAACTCCACCAGCTTCACCGCCTCCAGAGTGTGCGTCTCCTGCTTCTCGGGAGACCGCCGCCCTCCTCGCTCGAACAGAGACAGCTCGCCACCGTTCTGCACCCGGGAGAACAGCTGAGGGACACGACACTGCGGGTCAGGGTCACGTGATCACTACGTCACCTGTCTAACTTTTTCATTCTGAGCACCTGGCGGTTGGAGAAGAGTCGCACTCCCTCCATCTGGTGGAAGACGGGGTAGTGGCTGGCGTCGATCTCGTCCCGCCTGTAAACGTCTCCGGCCAGCAGGAAGGCGTCCAGCCCCGACCTCACCAGGTCCGTCTGGTGGGCGGACGTGTGAGCGCGAAGCATCGTCGTCCTGTCCCACATAAAAACAGGGTTAGTGACGCCGATGGAGGACGCCGAGCGCTCGCGGCAGAAGACATCGGCTCTCACCTGTTCAGGTAATAGTTGTCTCCTCGTTTCCTGCTGGGGTGTCCGGGCGGGATCAACAAGCTGTCAGCAAAACACAAAGACTCACAAAGTAACACTCGATAAATCAGAACAGCTGATGGAGCGACAGCGAGGTCCATCACAGTCCCTGTTTCGATGGAATCTGGGCTTTTAATGAGTCGGATAATTAACCGCTGACCTCCGCTGGAGCTGAGGGGGTCACGCACATTCAGCCAATGATCTGCACAAACTTGTTGAAACGTGTTGTGGAAATCAGGGGAAAGAGCCTGTAAGAAGGAACGTGACCCGCCAGCAACTCTGAGCGTCTTTGTGACAACACTTAAGAAAACATGAATCTGGACAACGTCCTTTGTGTTGTTGGAGTCGGGTCGCTTTGGTCGTGAAGCCACAGTGAAAAAGTGCAAAACCAGAGATGAACGTTCACCTTCAAAGGAAAAGTTGTGTAAAAGCATAAAGAAGATAAAGTAAACCACAGCAGCGTCTCTGTTCAGTGATATTAGTGGATAATGTGACGGGAAGCTGCCGACCTGTCAAAGTTCTGCTCCGTGGTCACCACAGGACTCAGGTTGTCGTGGATGGAGAAGAGGGGGTTTCCCGAACGGCCGATGTACGAGCTGCGGGTCAGAAACACCGTCAGAGTGAGCACACACACTGAAGACAGTTTAATCCTGCTGATGAAGCAATAACAGGATGAGCTGCGTCAAAACCAGGTCACATCACGACTGTATTTGAACTCACGTTAACTTCTTGTATAAACAGATGATTTAAGGTCCACACTGAGGAAATCTGTACTTATATGTAACACGAGTCACACACACACACAGATGATCTGCACGCACACAGATGATCTACACACACACAGATGATCTGCACGCACACAGATGATCTACACGCACATACAGTGGGGCAAAAAAGTATTTAGTCAGCCACCAATTGTGCAAGTTCCCCCACCTAAAATGATGACAGAGGTCAGTAATTTGCACCAGAGGTACACTTCAACTGTGAGAGACAGAATGTGAAAAAAAATCCATGAATTCACATGGTAGGATTTGTAAAGAATTTATTCGTAAATTAGGGTGGAAAATAAGTATTTGGTCACCTCAAACATGGAAAATCTCTGGCTCTCACAGACCTGTAACGTCTTCTGTAAGAAGCTTTTCTGTCCCCCACTCGTTACCTGTATGAATGGCACCTGTTTGAACTCATCATCTGTATAAAAGACACCTGTCCACAGCCTCAAACAGTCAGACTCCAAACTCCGCCATGGCCAAGACCAAAGAGCTTTCAAAGGACACCAGGAAAAGTATTGTAGACCTGCACCAGACTGGGAAGAGTGAATCTACAATAGGCAAGCAGCTTGGTGTGAAAAAATCAACTGTGGGAGCAATCATCAGAAAATGGAAGACATACAAGACCACTGATAATCTCCCTCGATCTGGGGCTCCACGCAAGATCTCATCCCGTGGGGTCAAAATGATCATGAGAACGGTGAGCAAAGATCCCAGAACCACACGGGGGGACCTGGTGAATGACCTGCAGAGAGCTGGGACCAAAGTAACAAAGGTCACCATCAGTAACACACTACAACGGCAGGGAATCAAATCCCGCAGTGCCAGACGTGTTCCGCTGCTGAAGCCAGTGCATGTCCAGGCCCGTCTGAAGTTTGCCAGAGAGCACATGGATGATACAGCAGAGGATTGGGAGAATGTCATGTGGTCAGATGAAACCAAAGTAGAACTTTTTGGTATAAACTCAACTCGTCGTGTTTGGAGGAAGAAGAATACTGAGTTGCATCCCAAGAACACCATACCTACTGTGAAGCATGGGGGTGGAAACATCATGCTATGGGGCTGTTTTTCTGCCAAGGGGACAGGACGACTGATCCGTGTTAAGGACAGAATGAATGGGGCCATGTATCGTGAGATTTTGAGCCAAAACCTCCTTCCATCAGTGAGAACTTTGAAGATGAAACGAGGCTGGGTCTTCCAACATGACAATGATCCAAAACACACCGCCCGGGCAACAAAGGAGTGGCTCCGTAAGAAGCATTTGAAAGTCCTGGAGTGGCCTAGCCAGTCTCCAGACCTCAACCCCATAGAAAATCTGTGGCGGGAGTTGAAAGTCCGTGTTGCTCGGCGACAGCCCCAAAACATCACTGCTCTCGAGAAGATCTGCATGGAGGAATGGGCCAAAATACCAGCTACTGTGTGTGCAAACCTGGTAAAGACCTATAGTAAACGTTTGACCTCTGTTATTGCCAACAAAGGTTATGTTACAAAGTATTGAGTTGTATTTTTGTTATTGACCAAATACTTATTTTCCACCCTGATTTACCAATAAATTCTTTACAAATCCTACCATGTGGATTCATGGATTTTTTTTTCACATTCTGTCTCTCACAGTTGAAGTGTACCTCTGGTGCAAATTACTGACCTCTGTCATCATTTTAAGTGGGAGAACTTGCACAATCGGTGGCTGACTAAATACTTTTTTGCCCCACTGTAGATGATCTGCACGCACATAGATGATCTGCACGCACATAGATGATCTGCACGCACATATATGAGCTTCGCCAACGTCCGTATCAAAGACGTGTCTGCTCCGTTAAATTGTTCTTGTTTCTTCTTCTTCCTTCAGCTGCTCCCAGCATCCTCCTCAGTCACACCAACCCTCTGCACTTCACTCCACCCATGAACCTTCTGAGGTTTCCTCTCTTCCTCCTGCTCTGCAGCTACAACAGAGTCTCTGCTCTCACCTCCTTCTCCCTCGCTGCCTGCTAACATGCCCTCCCTAACTCCACCCAACCCTCAATTATAAAGTAAAAAACTGGAACCGTGGGCCCTTTGTGAGTGGAAAGTTTGTGACAGAGGGGTTTGCAGTGGATTAAAAATACCTCCAGAGGTGTACCTAATAATGTGGCCCATGAAAAATTTGATGCTTTCCTTGTCACAAATAAACGAAAACTAAATGCTTTTTAGATGTTTTAAAGTTTTATCGATCAAACAAAGGCTGGTGGGCAGGCAGGGTGTAAGTCAGGGAGGGAACAAGGAGGAGGGAAAGTGGGAGTAATGAGGAGCAGCGAGGAGCAGCGTGGAGATTACCCAGCAGCTCTGGGGTCTCCTCGTCATCTGCTGCTATCAGAGCACACAGGCTTTTCTAAAGACTAAAGTTCACGACCTGCTAAAAGGCAGAGCCATAAACCAATGTCAGCTCACGCTCGCAGTGACTGCTTAATGACTTCTGAATGCAGCATTAATGCGCTCGCCGTCGCTGTGATAGATTTCTGATGGCGAGAATCAGCAGCAGCTTTAACGATATTTCACTGCAGCCAAATTTACACTCGGCCGTCCCCAGAGACCCACGGAGCCTGCAGAGAGTTAGTCAGCATTTAAACTGAACACAACACCTGGCTGACGACCGCACTCGCTGCCTACCTGTAGAAGTGAGCTTTGATGCGCTCCTTGATCAGCCAGAGAGGATGATGGGATTGGTTGTGGAGGTTGCGGCCCACCTTTTCCAAGATCTTTGGAGTGACGTTGGTGAAGTCATCACGCGGGTATGACTGGCCTAACACCTGCGCCGAGTCCTGACCAATCACAGACTGAGGGGCGTGGCCCTTCGTGCTCAGCCGTCTCCATGACGCTGCGCAGCCATTAGGCCAGAACTCTGACAGGAGGTGGCGAAGAAGAGGGCGGGGCCAAGGCTGAAGATAAGGGAGGACTGACGGGGCGAATATCATGATGACAAATCCACGAAGCTGCAAGGACAAAACAAGGTCAATAAAATATGTGGAAAATGTTGGTTTCATGTTATAAACACATCAAAAAAGCCACAAACATCAGCTGTAGTTTTATCGCCATGAAAACGTCACCTGAAAAACGCGAAGGACGTTTGTTTAAAGGTCTGTTTGTGTTTCGACAGCCTGGAAAGCAACGAGGAAATAAACTAGGAAACAAAAGATGGCGCCAGGCAACAAGGTCACCTAGAGATGGAAGATGTTGCACTTTTGATTGCACCGGTCGCCTGGTGGGAGGCAACCAGTCTCCAAACAGCTGCTGCTAAACACAGATCATCTACACATTGCAACAATCTGTTTGTGGCGATGGGCGTGGCCTGTCTGTCTCCTCTGCAGTAGGCTGCGAGTGTGCAACACTGCACGATGACTGCACAGGTTGCCTCTCACCTGGCAGCCCGTCTCCAAACAGTCGCAGTCCGACCTTGAGCCAAGTCAGTTTGTGGTGATCAGACTCTCGGGGAAACTATAACAACTATAACCTCATAGCTGTTGATTTTTCAGATCCATCTGCAGTCAGAGTTGGAGTGAATCTCAGCAGGTACTGGACTTTGACAGGACTGCCTCTTCCCTTCCTATTCCTGTTAAACTGATAATAATAATAATATGTAATCATATGCCATCAGCGTATTGAAAACAGCTTTCCTGGGGCTGTGTTGGGTCACTAAAGGGCAGCAAAACTCCTAAAGATGCTCAATTTCTGAATGAGCAGGGACAGAATGACATGTTTCTCCATCTGATTACTCATATTTGCTTCTCTTAAGGTCTGCTTAGGTCTCGGCCGACTCCTGAGGTAAATATCTGTCTCTTCAGCTCATAAATGCTCCGCCGTGTTCACCCGCTCCTCTCTGACTGCGACTGCCTGCTGTTTGCTGCCGGGTTCAGGTGTTCGCCGAGGCTTCAGTCTCCGAATTTATCATTTGCGGTGAAAAGGGTGGGGAGGGAAATGAGGAGGACGTGAATCAGAAGCGTAAAAATAAAACGGCAGCGTCTCAGCGGAGGTCAGATCAGGTGAGCGCTGCGGCTGCCGGCTTCATTTATAATTGCACTAATGGACAAACATCGAAAACAGCAAAGGTTAAAACGAGGCGCCATCCTTTTACTGCTTTCCATCATTTATCCTCTGACAGGAGGCGACACCATCGCCCTTTTACCCACACCCCTCAAATATTTGTACACACACACACACACACACACACACACACACACACACACACACACACACACACACACACACACACACACTCTTGAGGAGCATCCCTGAATAAGACAAAGGGTGTTGCATTGCAGTGGCATTGCAGCAGAAAGGATTATTGTTCCTTAATCCAAGAAGCTTTTTACCTTTCCTCTGCAGCTGGTGTCATATTATACTGAACCGTACAGGCCAGCACGGAGGTCACACACACACACACACACACACACACACACACACACACACACACACACACACACACACACACACACAAACCTGTTTCTTCCAGAAAACACATCTCAAGGTTATTCTGACTTTAACAGGATGATGGAGTCGAGAGGTATTACTCTGAGGTGACACAGCCTGAATCGCCCACAGGCTTCACCATTCATCACGCCAGACAGTACCAAACAAAGATAGAATAAAAGCTGACAAATCAACAAATTCTTCCTCAGAGGAGCATTAATATATTCGGTAAAGGTCACGGCAGCTCGACCATGATTTGTCTTGTACACACTGTTCATAATTTGTTTGAAAACTGGCGCTAAAGGAAAGGTTATGCAAAGACCAGAACAGACGTCCTCTCTGTGGAGCTTTAATGTGTTTGTGGGCTTTACTGTCAGCATCATAGATATTAACACACTTCTGTGAACTGAAACATTAAGCCTGAGGGGCAAAGAGAGGAAAACAAGCATCAGTTTAATGATGGGAGGTCAGTGTGGGTCCAACCTGAAATGGTTTGCCTCATATTTGTCCTCAGACGGTCAAGGCTTCAAGGATAAATGATCAAGAAGTTAACATCTGACATGTGGAGTCCCTCAGGGCAGCGTTTCGGGTCCTCTTATGTTTCTATTACATGTTTTAATAACGTGGAATCTGTAATTCATAAATTACTTTCTGGATGTCTGTGTGAGCTTTACTGATGACAACACTTAGTTATTGCACTAACAGCATAAATATATACTGCCCTGTCCACTCTGCTGCTGTGACAATGTGAACAACTCTGTGACGAATAAGGGCATCTTACCTCATCTTAAACCACACAGTTAGACTAAGCTGTTGAAGGAGGTAGCTGCTGAGCAGGTTCACCTCCACAGTCCAGGCCAGCAACAATCTTTGCAAGACCAGAAACTAAAAAGCTTCTTGTTCAGCATCAGCGATGGACGTAGAGGACGCCACCCTCTGGGTTACTGCATCCTGTTCTCAAGTCTCGAGGTGAGTGTTTTCCCCATATCAGTGTTTTGAAATTGGAAGGGAATTTAACGGTGACACCAAACACTCATTGGCTAACGACGTGTCAATTTAAAGTCATTAACCAACGAGCCTACCCTGGATAATCCTCCTTTCTGAAGCCTGACCACAGGTATCGCCTTCAAACCTGGAAACTACGTCCATGTTTTAACTGCTTATGTTCACAAACACCAATGACTTAAATGTACTGAACTCTTCCCATTCCCAATAACTTCTGATATCTTTTTAAGCTCCTCCTACTCTGTGACCTGTTTGGGGTCAGCATCAGGTTCAGATCCATTTCCTCATAGGTCATTTTGACCTGTTTGGCAAACACTAAAAGAAATGTTATAACAAAGGAAGTGTTAGAGACTTGATTTGAAAGGAAGCATCTTCCAGCTTCAGCCTAGCTCTGACTCGACCCAGGTTTAGTCAGTGATACTTTCCCGATCACTGAAATGCAACATGTCATGAAGTCCAGGTCGGCCATTCGATCAAATAAATACATAAAAAGTCACTTTAATAACATCCTGATATTTGCACTGATTGGTTTTTGTTACACTGATTTTATCATTGTCGTTTGTTCTATTAGGTTTGCTGAGCTTCATAAAGATACTTTCTTATATTATACCAAAGCTTTGAAACAGCTTTTTACTGATTTATTGATCAATGCCACACGCTGGAGTAAAATGAGTAAAATCTTCAATCTCTCTGTGGACCTGAGAGAAACGTGAAGGCGTCTGTCATCCTTCTGACTAAAGGTCATGTGACCTATCCAGTCGCCCTGCAGTGGGCGTACCTGCCGCTGTCCCTCTGTGGGGGTTCAGTCTAATGATTTTTAAGACACCTCCATCTTTCTTCTCTCGAGCGTCACTCTGAAAATGCGTCCAAAACTTGCCTCCGTCTCAGCTTCTGTCTCTTCCTTTTTCCTCTCGTCGGAGCTGACCTTCCTAGCATGCGATCAGCACCATATGCCTGTTCCCATGGCGCCAAACGCCGCCGCCACACATGCACATATGAGCGCCCACACACACGGACACACATGTAGAGTAAATACACATGGTTTATGTAATAAACTGCAGAGCTGGCATTAAGCTGCAGTTACCACGGACGGATGGAAACACGAGGCGCTTTACGGACCGCCGGCTGAACGAAAGTTTGCAGCTTCCAGAGAAGGAAATAAATTATTGTGATTTTAGAATATTTCTGGAGTTATAAACAACATTACACAACGCTTTGGTAGTGCCTCCGATTTTTGACTGTGGCAAAAAGAAATCCATCATAATCATATTAGTGTAACAGCATCAGCAAGTGTGAAAATGAAGAATCATCCCCAACGAGAAGATTGTCAGAAGATCAGAACCAATCGATGAAAACAACGATGGACACACTTCCTGTTGGGCTCATGAGCTTTGTGAGGCTGTTGTTTCAGCTTTTTTAATCTGGCTGTGACGGTCTGAAGTTTGGAAGAGTTCAAAGGTCTCAGCAAAACCTCAAAGAGCTCCCTGTAGGTGGAGGAGGAGGTGGGGTTGGTGGATGGGTCAACCAAACATCAGACTGTAACGTTCGTGTTTCTTCATTTCCTTTATGTTTTAATATCACTTCAATCTTCAGCCTTTACAAAACAAAAAGCTGCTCTTAGTTTCTATTTCAGGTTACACACCTGAGTGACCTTTGAGTGAGGTCAAAGGTCACTCATCATAGTGACCAAATGAATATACCCAAGAGCAGAGAGAGGAAGAGAGAGACTCTAAAGAAGGAAAGGATTTTTTTTAAACAGAGTCGAGAAGTCGAGCAAAGCAAAACATTAGATCAGATCAAATTTTAATGAGTCCTGTGGCAGAGCGGCTGTGTACGGGTAACCACGCCGCTCTGCTCGCAGCTCCATGTTCGTTCACCCCGAGCCGTGTCCAAACACACACACAGATTAGGATGTTTAACAGCTGGAGTCGGTGTGTCTGAGAAGACTCTGACACGGCTGTTGACCTTCTGGAACATTTAATTTGGGAAAACAGGATGGAGAGAGTGCCAGGAACTCGTTCCCCCGAGCAGATGATTTCAGGGAAACGATGATTCCCTCCAGCTCGGAGGTGTTTACCAATAAGACTTCTGTTTAAACCCAGATGTTTCCCACGACGCTGTGAGTCGTCGTCCTTTTTGTCTCATGCGAAGAGCACAGAGATCACAAAGCTGCTGAGTTTATTCCTCCAGAGCTGCAGATTTTCCCCTCTTTGACTTTTTCTAAACCTCCAGACTCTCAGTGCACACTGGGACAGACTCAGACTGCAGTGGGTATCTGCAGTCCTCCCTTTGACATGGAGGTCCTCTGTGAGGTGCAGCAGGTGGAGGACTGGCTTTAGAGTGAGGGTTGCTGTCGCAAACTAAAACGGTCGAGTCAGAGGAGTGGAATATTTTTGTATCAAACACAAACCAACACAGTGACATTACCAACACTAAAAATGTAAACTAGCCAACTGAAGACGGTTTGATTCAGGTCCGGCTGTATCTATTTTTTTTTTTTTTTCTTTTTTTTTTTTT